TTTAAGATCCAGAGTTTAAAAATTTATTTTACTAATATCTCTTTATAGAGGTATATTGATAAAGGAAACAGAACATATACATGGACTGCTGTGAATGGCACTGATTACAGGTAACTCAATTCACTGACTTCCTTTGCTTAGTTTAATGTTCTTTTGGATTATTTTGGTTAATATTTTCAGCATTACATTTTCTATACTAGCTAAATCAGGACAAGATGATCTTTGTATCCAGGCCTGTAGGATTTTCTGGGTTCCTTTACAGATTTCCTTGTTGCTCTAAGGACTAGAACCTCATTTTTTTTTCCAATTTTTGAGTTTTATGTAGGAAAAAACATTATTTATAATTGATGTTAAGAATCACTTTTCCTCCTACTTGCTGTATCACAGTATGATTTGATTTTTGTATACTTTCTGTTAGATTCCCCCTCTTATTTCAACTTTTCTTTACACTATCTCCATGTTCCTGCTTTAATATATGTATTAAAAAGAAAGATGCAATGTTTTGGTCTAAATAAAAAAATGTAACCTGTTTTATGTAAACACTTTTCAGTCACAGTCATTGCTTATAACATGATCTTTCTAACCTTCATATGGGACCTTAGGAGCAGGAGCTGTACTACTGGTTATCTCTGAAATCTGAATCTATTTTTGACAAGTTTAACTAATTAGCATGGATTCTGCTTTGTATGTAAAAATTACCTGGTCAATGGCAGCGGGATCAAATGAAATAATGGGTAAAAACATCCCCCCTTGAATGCAACACTGGCACTGTATATTACAGCTCTGTAACATTAGAAAGAATGTAGAAACTCTACATTATCCAAAACAAGTTAGGGTTTACCAAATCCCAGAAAAGTTAAACTACTCTAGTTCAAAACTTCATGGTACAAATATTGAGTCAAATTTTTACCAGAAGTCTGTTTTTGTTGTGGTGAATTACAGTAGTCCTCAGCCAAGTTGGATCCCAGGTTACAGTCACTGAGAATGCAAACATTAATTTGTATATAAAAACAAACAAATCAGTTTTAACAAGAGAATGTAAACCTAGGATCTTTTAGTCACCATCCCATTTTTCTGTTGAACTGCCTCTATCTTTATACGCTGTAAGAAAATGAAGTTTTTTATCAGACTGCCATCTAGCAATCTTTAGAGAAATACATTTGATTTATATGACTTCTTGGTTCCTCCTGAGCTTCCTGGCATGAGGTACAGCAATAAATTCATGGAGTATCGTTACAGAAAACCTATTAAACATAAAATTATAGATTTTAATTAGCAATTTCTGCTTGCAGTAACTGTTAATGACAGGTAAACTGCCACTGATTTCCCTAGAGGAGAATTGGTAGAAGGATATCACTAAATATTCAGCAATCTCACTCACATTCTGTTTAAATGGCAAATTTGCCATTAAAGGTCAGCTCCTTTATGGCTCAATTGTAAAACTTTTTTAATGTTAATTTCTGCAGGTGTCCATTAGAAACTGTTGCAGTTCTGCACAGATGAAATCCAAGTGCGAAAATTAAGGATGTGACCTGGCAGATGATGCTACCTATTTAATGATTACTCATACTTTCTGTCCTTTACATACCTTTTTAGACCTGAACTCTTCTACATATATATTGAATTTAGCTGCAAATAGTCTTATATGTTTTGAACAAAAATAAATATAATCTAGAAGAAAATATGTGGCAAATCTCTGCAAGTCTTAAAATGATATTACACAATTATGCTCAAAAGTTATTAGTGGTGACTGCATGATTAAAAACATATTTTGGATCTTGACTATAATGTGAATTCAAGTATTGCCAGATGCATTTTCTAATGAATATTGATAGTTGCTTTATTAGTGGAAGGAGATTCATTATATTATGTGTGCAAATCTATGCAGTACTAAATGATGTTTTTGCAGTCAGCGATTACTGTGACATGTTACACTGGGATGTTAAATGTGTCAGAGGGAAATACAAGAAATAATTTTTTTTTTTATTTGCAATTATTTGGAAATTCCTTACCTATCTGTTAAAAAATGCATTTAATGCTTAAAAATATAAATAAGAATGAAAGTAAATACAGGGAAGCTCAGGACTGACATAAACCTACTCATGTCTCTTACAAAGTGTGAGACTGGTATGTCACTGTGTGACCATCTCATCTCATCTCATAATGATCCAATCTCCAAACTTATTAATTGCTTTCAAAACACAGAGAAGCTGAAAGTGGAAAACTGCTGGAAATAACATAATTGCTTTACTTGTCTAATTTCTATTGCAGCTTGGCATTGGTGTTACCATCATACAGCTTTTATTATATTAAAGCCAAAATAGAAGAACCAATAACTCAAGCCAAATGTAAGTACTGTGAAGGTTCCCTGTTTTTGTCTAGTATTGCCAAGTCTCAGATTCACTTAAAAAGCAATGTTTGAAATTCATAACTTTTGTGGAATTCACTGATGTTATCATGATGTACCCAAAATCTGCAGCAATGATTCTAATCCATTGTAACATTCAAGGTGCAAGAAATATTCTATAAAAATAGAATATGTGCAGGTACCCCAGTTCCACTGACAATCCCTTCCTCCTTGCTCTGTGCCTATAGAATCATTGCTTTGTGTATCCTCTGTTGCTGTCATTTTAAGGGTCTGGATACCGGGTTTTTTTCATTCTATTAGCAAAATGTAGTGATATAGACTACGATAATAAAGCATTTTTTGTATTTTAGTTACGATATAATATTTAGCAGATGACCTCTGCTACCTGTAGGAATAAAGCAATGTGAAAGCCCTGTGTGGTTTGGCTTGCAGTTAGGCTTTTATTTTGCATTTTACATATAGTTTTAGTGGACGTTTGTATTCTGTTTTTAGATTAGACTAATTTCAAGCCATTTACCAATTCTGGAGAGATAGCTAGAAATTCCACTTGTCAATATTGAAATGCTATTTGTTTATTATATGTGGTCTAGATAGTACATGAAATAGAACCTATTACAGCCTTTTAACTTTATACTTAGAACAAGTATGTAGTTAAATAGAAAGTTAGAAAAGCACAATGAAACTCTGACAGACATAAATACTGTTAGTTTAGAGAAAACTTGGTAGCACTATATCACTTTCCTCTACCATTGCCTCCTGCATATGTAGTCGGATAATAACTTTTTAATAATCAGTGATTTATTTTGTAACTTTGTCCAATAGTAAGCAGTATAAAATTAAAGTTTTAAGGAAAGAATATGGTTATCTTGATGGATTAGATCTTCTGGTTTTGCACTTATATCAATATAACCTGCAAAACAGACCCTTGAAATAACCACAGTATATAGAAGGTACTGAGAAATAAGTGAGAAGGGCATATTCTTCAGTCTTCAGAGATGTTTGTCCTTTTTTTTCCAGACTATAGCTGTATGTAAATTGAACCTTTGATCTATCTATGTACAATATTTTTATTCAAGGGGCTGTTTGAATAAAATATTGGTTTGTGACCCCTTGTGCTTTACCCTGTTTTTTTCTGTTTCCCTGCTTTCTCTTTCTGATGGATAGTCACAATCAAACAGGGCAAGTATATTCTTGTTGCTCAATTTCCTTCTGTTTACTGCAGTTGATATTTTTCACTTATATTCCTATTCCTACTGGATATTCTCCTCTGTATTACTCACCTCAGGATTTTCTCCATAATCATTGGGTGCCATAGCAATAGAAAGGGGAAAAAAAGTGAAGTATTTTTTCGTTTTCATGCACATTTCAATATGTTGCTAATCTCTAATCCTTCTTTGTCTGGTCCTATCAATGTTCAGTGATATCAGCTATTAAAACCATTATTTTCAGTAGGATTGACAGTGATATTAATACAATCGAAGTTTTTAAACTGTATCGCAGAAAATAGTAGGAGCATTTTTCTTCATTTTCTAACCAATTAGTGTCCCAAATATTTCTTTGTATCAGATTGTAATTCTAATGAAAACATCTCATATGTTTTCATGTTGTCATGCTAATTAAATGTCCCCTTTAAACAAATTGTTAGATATATCTTCTTGTTTCCAGATGTATATTGTATATAAGATAATTGCTTCCTATACTGTGAAATACTGAGACGTACACAGTATATTAGTAGGAAAGTGTCTCAAAATAAACATTTCTTTCTAAATTCATGGATGCATGCAAAAGTTAACCTAATAGTTTGAAAAGAGAAATGATGGCAAAAATCCTAGTTCACTTACTTGGTGTTTACTCTTCATCTTTGTAGTTTCAGAAACACTGAAGCCTGATCATTTTGATGAAGCTGGCTATACGTTTATAGCACCAAGGTTAGTTAATTTCCCAATAATAAGTATTATTTCGGCAAATAGGCATTTGATCAGATTAATGGCACATAAAAAATACAGACTTGACCAATAAAGTTTCATTTTGGTAAAAAATTGTCTATCTTGTTGCTGGAAAGTAAATAGCATCTTCAGGCTCTGATTCCTGTTTATATCAATCAAAGAGAGATGTAAAATCTGATATAGATGTTTTAATGGAAAACTTATACGTGTGTGTTCATTTCTTATGGTTCTGACTTTTAAGATTTTACAACTTTGTACCTTAGGCTCTCATTTTTAAAATAAGTTCCATAATACCTATGTCAAGATGTTTCCCAGCTTCAAGACAAAGGGTTTCAAAGCTCTCTATCACTTAAGGATGAGTTAATTTTTGATTAATTGAACATAAAAATTATTAAGTGATTGAAAATTGATTAAATTCATTAGTTCCCTGGGGCTTTTTATGTGAAATTGTACGGACCTTGTTGCCCTTTTAAATTTATGTTTGCAAGGGAAACCTAGTATGATAAACAGGTTTTAAAAATTGTTTGTCTAAAAGATAGTTATGATATATAAAGGAAATACTCTACAGTTAAGATCAGTTGAGAATTTTTGCATTCCTTACTTATCTGATAATTTTCTGTATACGTTTAAATTTCAATTAATAGATTAATTTCCATGACTAGATTGATGGTATGTAAAATTCTTCTATCTTAAAATGTATCTCAGCTTAACTGTTTAATTTATTTTTCTGAAAGACTGAGGTTATTGATAATCAATTGTACCGGTTAGCAGTTTCCAACAAATCCCTAATTGTTAGGCTGTCCTACATCAACAAAGTATGTTTGATATGTGGTTCTGTTTAAATGTGAATATTGGTATAGTAAGACAAAGTCTGCCTATAGTATTTCAGGATTGTGGTAACATAAATAAAGGGTAATAAGACATCTCAGTCGTATGAAATACTTGAACATACTTCTTTTGTTAGTAAAATTCATTAAATATTAAAAGCTCATTTAAAAAAGAGAGCCTTCTGCTTGACTACTAAATACTCTCTACATTTTAATTAAAGTTGTTTAATGCCACTCACCATCCAATGTTTACTTCCAAAATACCCAGTGACTTCTATTTTGCTTGCTTGCATTGAGTGAATTACCTAATGATATAGTGCTTTATTACATGGTGTAAAGAATAGTTTACTGTTTATCTGTTTTGCATGTCAAAACAAAGAATGTTTATATGTTTATGTTTATTAAAACTGCCTTTAATACTTCTTCTGAGTCCTATGGGTAATAGATTCATAGATCTGACCTTAGTTGAGCATGAAGTGACTATGTTTCACCAGCAGGCTCTGTACTTTCCAGTACAGTTTAACCTAGGAGCTGTTTAAATTCACTGGGCAATTTTATATTTAGTTTACAGATTATGATCTCCTAATTTCACATTCCTGATTTTTTTCTGGGAAACCATGCCCTATTTCATACACGCAGTTTTCCTCAAAATCAGATTTAGGCAGGCACTTGAACACCTTTTTTCCTGTAATGCCTGAAATAATTGTTACAGTCATTATTCAGTATTGAACGGGGCAGTCAATTGGCACAGTAGTGGCAGCTTCCTCATCATAGTAGTACAATCCTGCTGGGCTTTAGAATTGTCTGCTTTGGTAGCAAAGGGAACAAATCTGAGAAGGCTGATATTCTGTTGTTTTTCAGAGAATACTGTAATGATGTAAAAAAATCAGAAAACAACACTGAATTTCTATTAAATTTCAATGAATTTATTGACAGAAATACTCCAAGCAGTTCATCATGTAAGTATGCTTCTCAGTTCACTGAAAGTTTTCCTTAGAAAAATACTTTCTAATAAATGAGAGGTCATGCTTAAATCCTGTGGGTTTGCTTTTTTAGTAGAAATATATCTGGTGTCAGGATTTTCTATCCAAGATAGAGATTGTAAAATTAGTTTGCAAGTTTTTGGCTCTATTTAAGAATGTTTTCGGGGCATTTTGCATCCAGTGTTTTCCATAATTCCTCTCAGCATTCTGTTCAAGCATCAAATAACTACTGATTCTTTTTAATACACTCCAAATATTTTGAATTTATATTTTTTCACATCAGCGTATAAGCCAAAGTCCCAAATTGACTCAAACTCTTGTAATGAAATCTTCAGTCTGCTTTCTAATCATTTTATTCCAAACTAAGTAAAGGAGTCCAGAACCAAAATAGCCAACAACTAGAACAAAAGATAAGGAGGTTCTATTACTGGGTCACAAATTGGTTAGAGAGATCTCATTCGGGCTTAAATAACTCAAGACCACAGATCCATGTAACTGCTGCAGTGGTGACCCTGGGCTTTGGGATTCATGTTTTGAAATAGGGCCTTAACCTCTGTTTAGAATAAACACTTTTGAATGAACCATCGGTAAGGTATTGAAGTCTTGTTCTCATGAAAAATTTGATGTTTGGATTTGGTTTTGCACACATACATCTGTTTAGCATTATTAGTAATTTATAAATAGTTGGAATAAACTTTTTTTTTTTTCTAACATTCCCCAGGTTTTTTTAACATGTTTCTGTCAGGGATCACTGATCAATTCAGAAAGGATCTCTCTGTTAGACCATGTAACTGGAGGAATGTGCACTTAGATATGAGATCTTCTCACAAAAGGCTATTTTTGTGTGTATGTGTAGGTGTTTGATGTACTTTTTAGTAAAGTGATCTTATTCATTGACACATTGCTGACTGACTGAAATTTTGTTTGAATCCCTTGACTCAGCATTGAAAATGAAAGTGTTCACTTCCAATGACTAAAGCAGTTAATAAATAAAAATTCTAATTTAATATTCACTACCTATATAAGCAAATATTGAGGACACATTTAGTGATATTGTAGTATACAACAGGGCTTAATAAGTAATTTTTCCAAAATTTTATCTACATATTTCTATATTTCATTTTGGAATACATGTCAAAATTGGCTTTTTTTCTTTTTTTTTTCCTAATAATTAAGTTACTTTAAAAATAGTCTCCCTAATAAGAAAGCAGTGTTAACTAAAGGAATTAATAACACTAAAAGCTAAAAATGCTTTTCAAAAAGAATAATCTATATACTATAAGAACTTTCTCTTCCAAAGTTGTATTGAAAAAGATACTTGCAAAGCACTGACTTCAAAACATCTTTTTAAAGAAATTTAAACATGACATCCCTGTAAAAAGATAAAAAGTGTTTTAATAAAAACATGCTTTGAAAATATTTCCAGATTTAACATAGAGGTTTTGCAAAACTGGGAACTATACCCTTATTATCTTGCTTATTCCTATTACACAAGGATAAGTTTTTTAGGATACAATAAAGGAAATGTGTAAGTGAATTCAACAGTGTGAGAGCAATCTATTTCACACTAATTAATTGATGTAATTTGAAGTTGGCCAGTATGTCTAATAGAAATAGTCCAAATTTTGTGACTAGCCAACTCAGAATTTCATTTTAGCCTTTTAACGAAACTCCATCTCATATGGTTTCAGATGAGTGTCTTAACTCTTTTGATAGGTAATACCGATATGGTCATTAGAGTTTTGCTGGATGCAGGATTTACAGATGAACTTGCCCGAAATTATTGGAGTAAACTGTCTCTGTAAGTATTCTTTTTGTTGACTGTGATTTTTTTAATGCATTTCAAAGTTTGATTTTAAAATAATATACATCTGTATGTATATACAGATATGCAGTTAATGTTTACAAACAATAGGTATTTAATTCACAATTATGCACTTTAATGGCAACCCTTGACATAGGAACTTGTGAGAATTTCAGTCAGTTTTCATTTTAAATCTTATTTTTTTACAGTGATGGAGTTGTTGCACAATTTGTTGTTACAGATGGTGGAATTACTAGAGTATTCCCCAAAAGGTAAGAATTATTATAAAATAGTATAATATGATAATTTTGAAATATGTAAGGGTAGAATGTTAAATAGTGGATTTATTGAACGAAAAACTACAGTCTCCTACAGTCTAATCTGTACTGATAGTTAGGAAATGAATGGAATGTCTTGTTTTTCTTTGATTTTACCTGTGTCACTGCTTCAAACTGATTGGTAACATTATTTTCATGACAGGTCCTTGCAATCCAAGTTTCTAATCAGTGTAGAACAGCAATAAAGGCAATGCCCTTGTAGTAGCAGTGGGGCCCTGCTAATCCCTAATTACTCCCAAGCACCCAGTTGTTTGGCAGGCTGCAAATACTGGAAAGTAACAGGTGATTTATTTTTTTTTAAACGAAGATCAGGCCAAATGGTCCAGGGACTTCAAGAGAGAAAAATGTATCACTACCAGAGGACAAAAAGGGGATGCAAAATTGGATTTATAATAAACTAGATACCCCCATGAGTAACTGGGAATAGTGAAGGCACCAGTAGAGACATACTGGTAAATGGCAGATTTATCTGTTTTCTTGGTTTATTCTGTGTTTCCCCCAAATGTGAAAATAACAATGAATTTTACTCCTCAGGTCAGTTTCTTTCCTATTTTGGGGTTATTAATGATACTAAATCTTTTAGGATTAAGCTCAAGAGATAGCATGTGCTGTAAAAGTTGGTTTAGATTTTCTTGTAAGTAGTGTTGCAGTTATATTTGGCTCTATATATCTAAAAGTGATGAGACAGGATTCATATTGTTCCAAGAATACTATTTTCTTTTTTTTTTCAAAAGTTTTTTGTTTTGTTTTGTTTTGTTTTGTTTTTTAAATAATGACACCTGCCAGTTTACCAGTGAAAACTGACAAAATCTGAGGACTAGAAGAATGAATCTGACATTTTTTCCAACCGTGAAACATTAAAAGAAAATAACCTGCAGCACAACTTTAATGAGATTCTGTCTTTTTTGATCACTAATATTTTTTTGTATTTAGGGCAGGAGAAGATTGGTTGGAAAATGCTGAAACTTATGAAGTCAGCTTCTATAAAAGGAGTTTAGATAATAACAACTATATTTTCACAGCTCCATATTACAACAGTAAGTCATCACTGTTTCAAAATGTTAGAGCTAGCTAGTCCAATGTAAGTGGAAGTTTTCCATATCAGTCGAGGTCATTGACAAAAGATGCAAGTGGGACACTTCATAAGGAAAGAAATCTTGGGACAATACCCCTTTGAGGAACAGGCAGCTAGGAGGGCACCAAACAAGGGTCATTATAATTTTTCATCAACTCCAGTGGCCCTGTATACTCAGAATTAATGAAGCTGAAAATATCCAGGGTACTGGTGTTCATTTAACATATTGAAACACTTTCTTACAGAGCTACTTTAGCAGAATTATTTTAAAAGGAAGTGAAATAAAATTGCACTCAGAGACAATAACACTACCTAAAAAGTCATATTTGGATTGAGTTCTGTATGCTGCCTCAGCACCAAACCTGACTTGGGGCAGCAGGTAAAAAGGTCCAGAGTTCACAACTCTGTCCACTGCACCACCTTAATTTAAACTTTGCTTTTGAATTCTATTTCTAATTTCTATTACTCACCAAAACCAATTTGTCTGAAATATCGTGACATTTAAAAGTTATATATGCACAACAGTAAGTGCTCATGACTGATGTGAGCAACATTAACCTTCTTAACTTTGTTTATAAGCAGATGCTACCACAAACAATGTACTCCTCTCCTAAACATATGGGATATTTTAGTGCTGTTATTTCATAATTATTTATTGCACTTTTTCTCAATAAAATATAAAGATAATTAACTGAATTTCCTGAAGCCTTTGTTGTTCCTCAGATAGCTTCAGGGAATGTACTTTTAACTTGCCTTCTCATACTAAGCAGTGTTGAAAACAGGCTGAAGTCTGTCAGAACAGTAATTGTTGGTTAGTGAGTGGTGTCAGTATACCCTGTGTTGAAAAATACATAAACAACAGCAGGATAAAATCTTTGGCTCTGCTCCTGGTTTTAACAGAGCTGCTCACATGTGTAAAGCTATTCATGGCTCTGTTTGCAGAAGAAAAAAAGGCTACAGTAACTTTATGAAGCAGTCAAACAGTGCACAAAAAGTGAATGAAAAAAGTAAGCAGAAGTGTTCCTCTTAGTCATGCAGGTGTTGGTATCTGAGCTACCACAGGTGATGTGTACTACAGCTGGGTCAGTGCTTTTGGACAAGGATTTTTTTTAATCATTCTGGGTATTTGAGTAATAATTTAAGTTTCAGAGGAAGAGGCTTTTATATCGTCCTAACTTTTTCTGGTTTTTTGTTTTTTCCCTTTCTATACTGTCAGAAAGTGGTGCCAATAGCTATGAATCAGGTATTATGGTAAGCAAGGCTGTGGAAATAGACATTAATGGAAAACATCTGAAGCCAGCAGGTAAGACAGAATGGTGCCGAAACTCTAAATACTTTAGTTATTTGGTTGTTGCTCAACAGTGAATTAGAAAGTTAATTAAAATTTCAAAGGCACTTCACTTTATAATAACATTATTTTCTGTGAAACAGTTCTAACCTTGCTAGAGGAAATCAAGCCAAATATCTGGTTGTATTTGAGTAAGAGTGCTTAATTTATTAGTCTCATGAAGGATGCTGGTGATCAGACAACTGAGCAAAACTCATATTTTACCCTTCTGCAGTTCAAAGATTTAGATGTTCTTATAATTTTCCCCTTTATTTTAGGATTCTACATTACCTTTTTTTTTTTCATTTTACTAAAAAAGTCTTTCATGTATTTCTTGTTAGTTGTTGGAATAAAAATTGATGCAACCAGCTGGATGGAAAATTTCACAAGAACCACAATCAAGAGCCTGGTAAGCAATTGACCAAGTCTTTTTTGAACTTTATTTGCATTTCTCAAAGCTTCAGATGCAAATAGGTCTACTAACTCTTTGTGCCAGAGTTACACTGATGTGAAATTGCCAAGTAGTTGTGGTATTTAAATCATCCAAATGCACAAAATAAATCTATGTTGAAATAGGCTGTATTTTGTACATCTTGCTTTCATAATTATAAAACATGGATAAAAAGAAAGAAAAATGACATATTCCAGCCAGTAGGCTCTCTACAAGATTATGCTGTAGCAGTGAATAAAATCTGCTGAAGAATTGATGGATCTATTTTTATTTAATATGGAGGATGGGTAAAAACGGTGAACAGTAAGGATTGATATTGCAACCAACACTGCAGCATTATAGCAGAACTTAAGGAAATAGATGCTTAACCACATCATTCCATACATCTAATGCTTAGATGTAAGTGGGAATAGGGAAAAGTTAAATGAAAGGAAAAACATGGAACTGATACTGAATTCGTAAAGGAGAGGCACAAAATGAAAAAACTTATGGAACATAAGCTCCATATTGGATGAGGCAATGTTGCTTGGTGGGTTGTATATTACAGGCATTGGTGTCTGGCTGGTTTAGGTATTTGAGCTGTAGGTCAGTGGGTAAGCAGATGCATTGCTTAAATGCTAAAGACAGTTGAGTACAAAAATACATAAGTGAAAAACAGAAAGACAGACGAATATCTCAGATTTAATATGAGGTTGAGGACATTATCTGGTAGTTGTTTTGCTCAGGACGTAATGCAAGGACACAGTTATGTGCATATATGCAAACATATTGCAAGAACAAAAGAAAAACATGTTAGGAATCAACAGCCATAAAAGATAACTGGGTTGATGGGCTTTCTTTATCACGTAGAATTCCCACACTTTGAGACTGGTGAAGCTTTCTCTTTTTGAAAGCTTTCTTTCCATACCTCAAACACATGGAAATGTACCTGTTCTTTCTCTTTTACTTTATGCTCACAACACTGACGTTCTGACAAGTCCTCCAAACTATTTATCTCTAATATATTGAACATATCTGTAAAGGGACCTGTATCAGAGTTTTTGGGAAAGGCAGATTGTGCTGTTGATAATTACTGAATAATTACTGAATTGTTCAGAGAGAAATTTGTAATAAATGACATGCACTCAAAATTTATATTAATATATAGATACTGAAAATAGAGTCACTTGTTCCTGTCATGATAGATTAATATAACTGCAAAATACAGAGGGTTTTGTAACATTTTTGTGAAGATTACTGTATTTTTGTTTTTTAGTGCAACAGTGAAATCTGTGGATGTGAGAGAAATAGCATGGTAAGAATACATTCAGTTTATGTTATCTGACAGATTATGAAAATTCACTCATTCTCTCTAGATTTA